AACTGGTTAAGCAATATAAAAATGGTTTGTGTAACCAAGATGGTTTCCAAATCTATTAGTAAACAACTAGAATTTTTAGCCTTAAATATTGAAGTAGCAAAGGGTCAACAGCTCATGGTGGTGGGCTGCTACAGACCCCCCTCAGCTGTCAAGGACTCTTTATCTTCATTGGCAAAACTTCTATCTCAACTTGACTACAAGGAAATAGTGCTGCTTGGTGATTTTAATTGGGACTGGTTAACTTCTGTGTCAGAGGATTTTAAAAACCTTTGTATCTCTCTGAATGTTACTCAGATTATAGACAGTCCTACTCGCCCTAACATTAAGTCCCCAAATAAATCCTCCTTAATTGATCTCATTTTAACTAATGTTCCCCATAAATACTTATCTGTGGGAGTATTTGCAAATGATTTGAGTGATCACTGTGTTGTAGCCACAATTAGGGACACAAAAGTCCAAAAGGTTAAACCTCGCATTATCAGTAAGAGAGACAAAAAACATTTTGTGGAGCAGGGTTTTGTACATGATCTGTTTGATTTTGATTGGGGTAAAATCGATCTGTGTGCTGATGTAGAAACTGCATGGTCTTATTTTTATCTTGGTTTTATGGAAATTATAGATAGACATGCACCCCTGCGTAAATTTAGAGTGAAGGGACGAGACAACCCTTGGTTTTCTGCTGACTTATCTAGTCTCCTTCATGAGAGAAACAAGGCCTGGGCAAAGGCTAGGAAATCAGGCTCAGAGGTAGAATGGCTACGCTTTAGGCAGCTAAGAAATAGCTTCACATCACAAATAAAAAATGCTAAGTCTAACTATTATCTGTCAGTTACCACAAAGAACCTGAATAATCCTGGAAAATTTTGGAAAGCCATAAAATCGATATCCACTGGTGATATCCGTAATGAGCTACCTCCGTGCATTACCACAGCATCTGGCACTATATCGGACAGGGCTACTATGTTAAATTGTTTTAATGAGCATTTTGTGTTCTGTGGCTCTCTGTTTGATTCTGTGACTAACTCTGCTTCTGTGAACACCACAGTGTGTGATTCGGAAAAACGTGTTTTGGAAAACCCTTTTAGTTTTACTCCTTTTACTGTTGATGTTGTTCGTGAAGCTTTAACCAAGTTAGATCCTAAGAAACCGGCCGGCCTGGACAACGTGGAACCTTTCTTTTTAAAGATAGCTGCAGATTTTATTGCTCCACCTCTCACTACTCTTTTTAACCTCTCCCTCAGCACAAACACAATTCCAAAATTGTGGAAGTCAGCGTATGTCCTGCTGAAAGGAGGGGAGGCAACCGTTTTAAATAATTATAGACCCATCTCTAAATTATCAGTTCTGGCTAAGGTTCTTGAACGCCTAGTGAGTGAGCAGGTAAAGGTGTTTTTATGTACAAATGACATCCTGTCTAAACATCAGTCAGGCTTCAGAAAGCAACATAGCACCATCACTGCCACAATGAAGGTGGTGAATGATGTGGCGAGTATTTTAGATAATAAGCAGAGCTGTGCAGCTCTATTTATTGACCTTTCCAAAGCGTTTGATACCGTCGATCATCGCATCTTAAAGCAGAGGCTACTCAGTATTGGCATATCCAGTCATGCAGTGGGGTGGTTTGTGAACTACCTCTCTGAAAGGTCCCAATGTGTTCATTTTGATGGGCTGTCTTCTGAGTGGTTAAACATTACTTATGGTGTTCCTCAAGGTTCTGTTTTAGGTCCACTTTTATTCTCCATCTACATCAATAGTTTAGGTGAAAATGTCGATGGAGCAACATTACATTTTTATGCGGACGATACCGTTATGTACTGTGCACGTCCCTCCATTAAGGAGGCTGTTGTTGAATTGCAAGCTGCTTTTAACATTATTCAGACTCAGCTCTCTGAACTAAAGCTTCTTTTAAATGTTGATAAAACCAAGGTAATGCTCTTTTCAAAAGCCAAAAAGACACCAGAGCCTGTTTTAGATATTTTAACTACGCAAGGAATAAAACTTGAAGTGGTTACCTGTTACAAATACCTTGGTATCTGGCTTGATGATTGTCTCACTTTTAAACGTTATGTCAATAACCTGCTTAAAAAACTAAGGGTTAGGCTAGGTTTCTTCTACAGGAACAAGTCCTGTTTCTCGCTCGAGGCCAGAAAAAGGCTAGTCTCTGTGACCTTTTTACCTGTGCTGGACTATGGTGATTTGATTTATATGAATGCACCTGCCAATTGCCTGGTCAAGTTAGATGCTGCGTATCACAGTGCACTGAGATTTGTGACAAACTGTAAAGCATTAACTCATCACTGTACCCTGTATGCAAGGGCTGGTCTGCCTTCACTAACTGTACGGAGGCTCAGTCACTGGTACATTTTTATATATAAAGCCATGTTAGGGAAACTTCCATCCTACATCTGCTCCCTGATCTCACGGCGAATTGTAAGTGGCTACTGCCTGAGATCGCATGCTGTGGTTTTATTAAATGTGCCAACTGCTAGGACTGTCTTAGGGAAAATAGCATTTAGATGCGCAGCTCCACTGTCCTGGAATAGTCTGCAATTAAAATGGAAACTGAGCAATCTGGTGCCACTAAATGTTTTTAAAGCTCGGTTGGATGCTACTGAATCGGAAGCTGTTGGTACCTGTGCATGTGGATAGTTATGTAAATTGTAATCCCTGTAATGCTAATGTATGATGTCCTTTTGTTGCTCTGTTATGTTTTTAATGTTTCATGTGGAACCTACTTGAGCAGGTCTCCCTTGAAAAAGAGATCAACGATCTCAATGGGATATAACCTGAATAAATAAAGGTTTGAAATGAAATTGAAATGAAAACAAGCTATTATAAGAAAGTGTTTGAATATAATAAACTTTATATTTTTGACTTTTTCTTGACTTTGATAAAAGACAATAAGACCTTTGCATTTTGAGTTGCTTCCACTGCTTAGTGCCATGGTATAATTAGGAACACTGCACATCATGCCTTCATCAGGGCTTTGTGGACATTATTGTTATTACCATTATTACTCAAATCTATTTATCTGAATATAATAAACTATAATGGATTCATCAATCAAACCTAGAAGACCTCAGCGTCTCACGTAGTGAGATTCACAAGCTCAAGTTTGTTTTACGAGGACCAGAAAAGTATAATTACGGTTTCTGTCGATGGAGTCTTATACCTCATTCACACCAACGCAACTCCGGTTCAAGCTCCGTGCTAGAGCTTTTCAGGTTCAGAACCGGTTTTTCGGTTTAGCTCCGGCTCTTTTCAAACCGCCCAGAGTCCGACTGGTGCTGCGTCATTGCGTCATCGTTTGCGTGCCTGCTTCATAAAACCAAACCGCGCGGAAACCCCTCACAGCAACAACAACAATGGCCGATTGTGCTCCAGCTTCCTCTGTACCTCTTCGGAAGACCAGATTCCCAGTAGGTAGCTGGTCTCTTCAGTGGACCACTGCTGCTTGTTAAGTTTCTCCATCGTTGTGTACAAACTGGATAAAACGCGGGCTTTTTGTTGTTGTTCAGGAGTTGATCCCGCCCCTGCCCCCGCCTCGACGTAAGCGTGACGTATGCGGTGCTTTTGCTCCAGCCGGACAATTTTTTGGTGCTTGAAACGAACCGGATTCCGGAGCTAAGAGGCTGCTCCGCTGCGGTGTGAACAGGAAAACCCGGTGCTTTTCAAGCTCCAGCTCCGAACCGGCCCTGAAACACTGTTGGTGTGAATGAGGTATCTGTGGTTTTAAGCAGAGCTTATTCATACGATCTACTTGTTGAAATCCCGGTTGATAGTTAAGCCTATTATGCACAACTACATTTTTGCATGTTGTCTTCTGAAAAACCTCAAGCCCTTTTATATCTCACACTTTACAAAGTTGTTTACATACATTACAGTCAAATCCAAGTCAACTTATGGAATCTGGCCATGTTTAAAGTAAGTGGTTAATGGTTTACAAAAATAAAAAATACCATAAACATGAAGATGCACATTCAGTGCAGATCTTCAGTTTGTGATATTGATAGTTAATAGTCTATGAAGACATTTGTATGTTACTACCGCATTTTCATATGCTCATATGCCAGTGGATATCATGCTAGTGATGTACCATGCTAACAAATCATGCCTCATGGAAGAGTCCTGCACGGGCACAATTTTTCCAACCGGACGACCCATTACCGCAATTATTTTCAGGTCACACGCAGACCTCATTTTTCCCTGTGCATTCGTAAAGATGCATTTTTCACACACGCGCGTACCTGACCCCGAGCAGGACTCCCCCTCAGGGCACAGCTGGACCCTTAACAGGATTTAGTTTGTTCAAACGTCACCAGAATGGTTGTTGAGCAACTTTTTGTCTGCTTTTAAAAGAATCAGCATTTAAGGCAATATTTACCTCATCTCTGTAAATGCATTTTAAAATCACCTATATGTAAAAAACAATTATTTGATTTGTGTTGTTTGAGTTGTTATACAACAACTTAGAATTGTATTTATTATATATTACATATAAGAACATTTTCAAAAGTTTGAAGCAGATGTTTTTTCAATACTGATTTTTGAATTTAAATACAATTTTGTCTTTTGATCAAAAAAGTTTTTATTTTCTGTGAATTATGAAGATCTGAGTTTAGCAGAGTGGCCTCTCCACTTTGACAGAGACTAAAGAAATGAATTTGGTACTTTAGGAACAATAAGATTTTTTCCAACTTTTTTTGAAGAACCCTTGATATGAAGACTAATTATAAGGATGAATCTCATAATGAAATCTAATCAAAATATTGATCAATGAACAGGAAGCCCTGAAAGTGATTGGACTGTTGCCCCTATCATTTCATTTGAGCTACTTATCTTTATCTCACTGAATTATATTTTCTCTGATATCTTTCCTGATATTTTCTAAATGATATATTAAATAACTGGATAAGCCTTATGTGGTGGATGGGAATACAATTAGGTGAAAATGATTCTAAAAACTATGTGTCTAAAAGTTTCAAGATTTCATGTCCTACCTTATCGCCCTCTTCTTCCTCCTCTCTCTTCTCTCTCTTCGGCTCCTTGGGCTCGTCATCGGGATTGAAGTCTTCCATTTCGACCTAACAACAGAAGCACATGTTAACTTAGCTCAGTGACTAAAAAAAAAGGACGATTATACCATGAGAACCGCAAATTCGTGAAGACCTCACCTCCTCTATAGCTGCATCCTGAAGCAGGGACCGGACATCCAATCGCACCATATGCCGAGGTGAAGCCTCCCAGTTGTTTGACATCTGTGAACAAAATGGTCTATTTAGAGCAGCACTCTATTTACATGACGCTCAGTGGACATTACTCTCATAAAAAATGTATCTGAGAATGTAATTTTATGTGACAAACCTTCAAAATATCCTTTAGCGTGCGCCCATGGTTGTTTCTCTTTGCACAAGTCTGAGTGTCTGCAGTGATCTCAGCAAGATATACCTTCAAATAAGAAAAACCAAACCTCTTTAGCACAGGGCAGACTGAAACAGGAATAATAAAATGAGTCATTCATGAACAGAACTCACCTCAAAGCCTTTCGTTTTGGCTGCGCTCCAGAACTGATCAAAATGTTTAACCTTGTCATTAATAGTGTCTAAAATGATGAAGGGAAAAAAGCCATCATCCAGAGTTTTCTTAAATGTTTTCAGCATGCTGTTCCGGTACGTATCCTCCATCTCTGGCTCATATTCGTACTCAAGAACCTGCACGACAGATTTCATTTCATTAGAGTTTATGTTAACAATAATAATTGTAATACATCTGCAGGTTGATACTGTTCTCTGATGTTTTACTGCAGGTCGGACTCACCTTGCGTTTCACTCGTCTCCCTGTGTCTGGGTCTTTCTCTACTTTCTCAACCTCCGTCATAAAATAATCGTCCAAAACGAGAACTCTTGGGGGTGCACCGCCACAATCCACTTCCTTATCCTTAATATCATCAACAAGAGAAAAAAAGCAATAATTGTATGTTTCCATTTGGTATTACTGTATATTGTTTATTAACATTACATGATAACATTATATTACATGATTTTCTGTTATGACTACTCACCCGTATCAGCTTTGCCACGTGGCTTTTTCCGCTTCCTGGAAGCCCTCTCATTATGATGACAATCTGTGAAAATGTATTTCACAAAAATGAGTACTAGATATCACACAACTAATAGTCTGTGATGGTACATTGGGAAGCTTTGCAACATTGATAAGTACCCTTTCAGGCCGAGATGATCTTCCAGGTGGTTTGAGGATATCGTCAATATTCTTGATTTCTGGCTTTTTCTCAACGCGCGGGGCTGGCTGTGGGGGAGGTGCGAGGGGTGATGCAGTGGGAGGCCCCCTTTCCTCTGGATAACTTCTTCTTTCTCCTGTAAGAAATAATTGCAATTTAAGTTATTTCTGAATGGCATTTTGTTTAACCTTTATTGACTACTGATACCAGATGCAGGGTTGAACATACCGTACGGTGAGGAGCTATGGCCGTACCGCTCAGGCACGCCACGGTCGGGTCCGCTGCGCTCATATGGAGGTCTGTCATAGCCCGGCCTTCCATAATGCTCCTCTCGGTCACGACTGTCACTTCGGTCTCTCTCTCGAAGTTCCCGCTCTCTCTCCCTGTATCCTGAGCGGGGCGCAGGTGCCAGTGGAGATCTACACAGAGGAGGAGCATCGTTTTGTCAACAGAATTTCTTCTGTTGACAAATTTCTCCCATGTCATGCTTTTCCGGTTATTATCCGTCCCCTTGTGTGTTATGAAGGTTTTTATGCATGTAAACGGTCTGCAAAGTCACAAACCCTCAAAGTACACCCTGTAGCGAGTAAAACTCTAACACAGAAAAGACCTGTCTATGCTGCCCCAAAACGCCTCGTTGGAGATTTCTCTTTTTCCATTTTTATTATTACTGGGTACAGTGACGTGCCCATACCCAAATGGACCAATCCGTGGAGCCGTGACGTTACGTCCGCGGAGCTGTTAGGTTAAGTCCGTGGATTGGTCCAAATGGATTGTGTGTGTGTTCCTCTCACACACACACAATCTTTTCTCAGCTGCAGCGCCGCCGATTTCTCCTCCCTGAGACGGCGGGACGCGGCGAGGCTGTGAGTTGGTGTGTGAGCACACACACAAACTCCCAGCCAGGCTGCGGGTGTGTGTGTGTGTTCGGGCTAGTTTCTCACTGTCTCGCAGACGGCCACTGGGCTCACAGGGAGGGGGGGGCAGGAGCTCCAACAAGCCGTTTAGGACAGAGAGTGAATACACATACTATACAGAGATGCTGTATGAGAAACCAATGTGATTTTGGAAAATTGCACAATATAAATCTATATTTATATTATAAATATATATATACTATACATTTTAGTATACCTCAACAATGGAATTATGATCAGTAGAAATGGCCATGACATGGGACCTTTAAACAGGCACACTAATCACAATGTATTGAAACAATGTGATAAAGTACCTTTCTTCAACCATCGACTGTGTGCTTGAATCAAAGCAGACACATAGAAAAACACAATTACATATGTACGGAAGCAGCTCACTTCCCTACAGTTTGGAAAAATAAATGTTATAGCCACGAGGAAATATGTTACCTGTCATCTCTCTCTCGTGGTGGATAGCGCTCCCTCTCATATCGTTCTCTTTCATATTCAGGTGGGGGCTTCTCTCTGTATAACTCCCTCTCTCTGCTGTACTCCCGGCGCTCCATGTAAGGGTCTGATCTTCTTTCATAATATGGATCTCTGCCGTAAGGATCCCTGGGACCAAGGGGTTCTAAGAGAATGGAAGAGATTATCAATGAACAGGGGTAAGAGCTAGCTCTGTTCAAGTTGAGAAAGATAACCTGAAGAGACATACCTTTTTCATAGCCCCGGTCTGAGAGAACTGGGTCAGGCCTCAACACAATCCTCTCACCATAAGAGATCCGCTCAACAGTGGCTCCAGGCTCTGAAACATTGAGTGTTTTTGTCAACAACAAAGTTCTGAAACTTAACCCGTTTCATCTGTTAATGGTCGAATATGTACATCTTTGCTGCTCATACCGTGGCCATGCCCGTAATCCACAGTCTTTGGCATCACTGAAGGTGTGGCCGCAGAGAGAGATGTCTGGTAACGTGTGGCAGCAGGTGTATTATCCCAAGACCCAGGTTCGGTTGAAGCCGTCTGTGCTGCTGCACTCATGCCCTAAGGATGACAGAATAAATATGATAAAGACCCAACAGTTAAATAAACATTTATGTAAAAGATGTGTGTGACCACAGTGTTTTAAACAAACTTGCATAATCAGTGATGATACATTCTTTCAACAATGCACTTCTAGTATTGGGGCTTAAATTGTTAAGCTAAAATAGCCAAGTGTTATTTGAATTAAATTACCTTCAGAACATTCCTGATGTCTGCTGGGATCTCCAAACCAAGAAGACCAGCAGGAAGCTCGGCTGGGATGTCGGCCGATGCAGGCTGGGGTGCAGTAGCAGGTGTCTTCCCTTCATGCAATTCCCTGTAGACCCAAAATAAGTTAAGTTCACCAAAAAGTTCTCCCTTAAATCCATTTGAACATAAAGTACAAGAGGTAATACACTGAATTGCAGAGGACTGCAGTGTGCAAAGGCAGGCTGGCCCAACTTGATAACATGTTTTTTTAAATGATTTTATTTAAAAATATACCATTCACATTCACTGTTTATGCGTGGTGGCAGAAAACTCAGAAGTGGATATTTAGAATATTAGGGAAATATAAACAAGCATAATGCATTAATTAATGATGAAGGTCTAGAAATAAGGCCTACCTTATAAGTTTAAGCTCTTGAGCAGCTTTCAAGATGATCTCATGTTGACGTTGGGAGAGTGCAAGTACATTTGATCCACTCGATCCTTGTGATTCTGGGTCATGTTCTGGCAAGTTTGTGACGGGTGCAGCAGCAGCAGCAGCAGGTAAGGGAGTCTCTTCTCTGGGATCTTCATAGCGAGGTCTGCGATTCTCATACTCAGCAGGATACCCTCTCACTGGTGATGGAGGAAGTCTTGAAGGCCTGTCCCATTCTGAAGGTGGAGCTGATGGCGGGTATGGTTGGTCATCCTGGCGATATGCTGGCTCATCTCTATACTCCCGAATTCTGAGTTCTCCTCTTCCCCTGTCATGCTCATCATAAGAATGTGGGTGACCTCTTTCTCTTTCTTCTCTGTAGAGCTCTGGGCGTGGCATGCGGGGGGGATAATCCCTCTCAGGAGGAGCACGCTCTCTGTCCCATTCAGACTCATAGCCATACTTGGCCTCATGCCGATAGTTACCAGGAGGATGGTCCTGTGGTGGCCGCCAGCGACCGTGTTCTCCATGACCATAATCCTCCACGAAACCCTCTTTATGTCTCTCTTCATATTCCTCATGTGTTGGACCTGGCCGCGACATGCCTCTACCCATAGGTCTCCGCCTCATTCCTTCAGGATCAATGATCTCATGTGGAGGCAGAGGAGGTTCTCTGCCATGAGGAGGTTCTCTGCCATGAGGAGGTTCTCTGCCATGAGGCGGTTCTCTGCCATGAGGCGGTTCTCTGCCATGAGGCGGTTGCCAGTCTAAATCTCTCTCCATGCCTTCACTGTACATTGGGTCCTCTATAGAATCAATCACTTCGCGAGGTGGGGGTGGCACGCCATGCCTTTCTCTTCCTGCATCAGGATGCATCGGGTGGCTATGAGGCTCATGTCCGGGGTGCATTGTGGGATCCATTTCGGTATCATCCATGTTTATTCCTTGGCCTAACGCCTCATGATCCATTGGGCCATGCGCTGGATGAGGGGGGCGCCCTCGTCCTTGGTGCATGAAACCAGGATGACCAGGTGGGGGACGGCCCCGGCCAGGTGGAAATTGGGGTCTCATGCCTCTCATAGGAGGTCTCCTTTCTCCCCAGTAAGGATCGCCTTCCTCCGGGTACTCTGCCGACTCAGGGTCTTCCCAGTACATGTCCATTGGTCCTCCTCTTCCCATGGGTGGCCCTCCTCTTCCCATATGGGGTCCACCTCTACCCATTGGTGGTCCTCCTCTACCCATTGGTGGTCCTCCTCTACCCATTGGGGGTCCTCCTCTACCCATTGGGGGTCCTCCTCTACCCATTGGGGGTCCTCCTCTGCCCATTTGTGGACCCCCTCTACCAAAAGGCGGTCCCCCTCTACCAAAAGGCGGTCCCCCTCTACCCATAGGTGGCCCTCCTCTCCCCATTGGTGGCCCTCCTCTCCCCATAGGCGGCCCCCCTCTACCCATAGGTGGACCTCCCCTCCCCATAGGAAGACCACCTCTCCCAAAAGGTGGTCCTCCTCTTCCCATATGGGGCCCTCCTCTCATCATCGGGGGGCCTCCTCTCCCCATAGAGGGTCCACAAGTTGGCTCTTCATAATACTCTTCCTCTGCTGCGTAGTGATATCCATCTTGCATCCACATTTCTTCAGGGGGCTCCTCTGATTCCTCATCACCACACTCCTCATATGAAGGATCTTGCCAATGATACTCCTCCTGTTCTTCTGGCATCCCCACGTTTTCTTCAGGTGGCATGTAGTCATACGGCATTTCCTCAATCTCCCCCCCAAGTGGTATAGAGTTAGGTCCCCTGAAATCTCCATGCCCCATTTGCCCACGCCCTCGACCTTGCACAGGTCCCGGTGGCTGGCCTCGTCCCCTTCCAGGAGGATGCCTTGGTTGATCTGGTCTTGACTGCATATGGCCAGTCTCCTGTTGGATTCCTGAGGGCTTTGGAACCTGTGGGGTTTTGTTTTTTGTCAATGGCCCATCAGGTTTGAGCAAACTTTGTGCAGCAGTATTTTTTGATGCGACAGAAGAGGGAGCAGTTACAGAAGAGGGAGCAGGTAAAGAAGGTTTGTTGTTACCAGGTTTGGGTTTCTCACTTTTGTTAGAAGCATCCTTGTTGTCCTCTGATTCCTCAGGCTTTGTGCTGGTATTTAATGTCTGGGGAATGGGGTCCTTCTGGACAAAAAAACCCTCAGTTCCAAGTAAGTTGTCCTCTGTCAAGTCATCAGAATTGGCCTTATCGCCGGGTTTTGATTTACCTTTTTCTTTTTCAGACTGTAGCTGCCCGGCTGTCTTTCCAGGAGTCTTCAAGTCTGTAGTGGCAGGTTTTGCCTTAGGTTGGACTACTTGCTGTTGCTGCTGGGGCCCAGGTGGGCGTTCAAATGGCGCGGGGCCAGGAGGCCTTTGGGGCTGGTCAAACCTAGACGGCGGCCCAAATCGGGGGGGGGCATCAAAGCGTTGCCGTGGTTGGTCAAATCTTGGTGGACCATCAAAGCGGTGCCTTTGTTGGTCAAATCGAGGGGGGCCATCAAATCGCTGCTGTTGTTGGTTGAACCTTGGGGGGCCATCAAACCGCTGCTGTTGTGGGTTGAACCTTGGGGGGCCATCAAACCGCTGCTGCGGTTGGTTGAACCTTGGGGGTCCATCAAAGCGGTGCTGCGTTTGTTCGAACCTTGGAGGACCATCAAAGCGATTTGGCTGGTCAAATCTTGGAGGACCATCAAACCCTTGCTGTGGCTGGTCATATCTAGGGTTGTTTCCAGTGGGAACAGCGGGACTATAGAAATAACAAGAAAACATTATTACTAATCATTATTTATCTTAGAGACATTCACTGATACCCTCACAAAAATAAGTTAAAACATAATTTTGGTAAACATGGGAATACTTAAATAGTCCGACTAAATTCAATTACCATCAAATTATTTTAATAAACATTTTGGCTGGATTTTTAACAAACAAAAGCCAATTACAGTACTACAAAACAACCATACTAACCGTGGACCGCTGACACTGTTGTTGCTTGTTGGCTGAATAGCAGGGGGACCTGGGGGTCTGACTCCTAAGCCAGCAGGGCCGGTGCCTCTCACAGGGGGTCCAGCAGGTGACTCTGAATGTGGTCCAAAGCCAGTGGGAGGTGGACCTTGAGAGTTTGGACCAACACCAGCTGGGGAATGCTGCAAACCTGGTATTGCTGTGTGCTGCTGCATGTGAATGTCTTGTCCAGGGTAATGGCCAAACTGTCCCATCATTCCACTACTATACTGGTTTGAAGCGAATGGCACCATGGCAGTGAGTGTGGCCACCCTTTCTTGAAGGTGCGCATTGGTGGCGTTCATCTGCTCCTGCCACTGCTTCCATTGGCGTTCATAGTCCTGCAGTTGATCTTTGTGGGGATAGGTCTTAAACTGTTCATACCACAGGACGAAGGAGCGATCCCACTCTTGGAATAAGGGGGTGAACTGCTGCCGTTGCATTTCATAGTGCCTGAGCTGCATTTCAGCAGACATTGACTGCAACAAAGAACATTTGGGTTTGAGTTTTTCGGTAATGATCTTATTGGTACATGCAGAATAAAGAAACAACTGGGGCATGAGATGTAAGATGTAAACTAATGAGGCTCCACGATGATGCTTGAGTTTTTACAGTACAGGGTGGTTGCAGTTCCTAAATAATATTACCTTCACCATTCGTTTTCTGTGGAAAATATTCAGATGAATAGTAGCTTTCAAATAAACAACCACTTACCGCTAGATTTGCAGGTTGCTGAATCAGCTGTTGATATTTTTCCAGGATCTGCTGAAGCTTTTCGTGTTGTTGCATGAGAGCCTGGTATTGTAAGCCAGCTCTTTCTTGCTGCACCTTTTGCCACTGCGCTGCTGCAGCCTGTAACTCCTGGAGGCGGGCAGCCTCCTCTGGGTCTTCCAGAGTATCACTCTTTAAACACAAACAATCAGAATCAGAAACAGGTTTATTGACAGGTAGGTACGCACATACTAGGAATTTGACTTGATGTCATGGTGCATACATAAAATATAAAAAACAAGAAATCTAATATAAAACACAAAATCTTATACACCGTAATAAAATACAGATAAATAGCAATACAAATTAAATAAAGCAGTAATTTACATGGAAATAGAATGCTATGAATGAATTTTTGCATATAAACTAAGAAATGTGAAATCAGAATATGTGCAGAAAGGAGTATGACATTGTGTGCATTAATGTAATGCATATAGTCTATGATGTGGCAGAGGTAAGAGGCTGGTAGCGGATGGGAAGAAACTGTTCAGGGGCCTCATTTATAACGCCTTGCGTAGGATTGACGTGAGAAGGTTGCTTACGTAGTACAAAGCACAAAAATAGGTACAGAAATGTTCCGATTCACAAAACATTGCGTACCGGCGAGGGAAGTGCGTACCGGCACTTCATACGCCTGTTTCCCTTTATAAATCACAATCGACTCGAAATGCGGCGCAGCTTTTCCAGGCTTCTCGTAACGCCCATATTTGCCTATAAATAGTCAAAGAAACGCCCATTCATTCATTCATTTTGACTGACTGCATGAAGAAGATCGCAGGAAATTACGACCGAACAGCTAAAAAAAGATTTTTGGTTATTGTGGGGAGGTTGAGATAAATCATATTGTTTGGTGGATGCAGTTTGAACCAGAGTAGCAGCATGGAGGTCGGATCGTCACCAAAATAAATAAATAAGTGGTCCGAAAAAAGTTAATGACAAAAAAAATACACATAACCTTCCTCAGGCAGTGTGTTTGTCCCGGGGACAGGAGACCCCCCCTTGATGAGAAACTGTAAGAAATGATAGGGGAATCCCTCCGGAGTGGAGTCATGGCGATCTCAATTATTTTGTTGTATTTGGTGGTTTGTGTTCCAGCTGTCGATCAGCAACTATATATCCATAATCCACCAGTTAAAGGAAATACAATGTGTTGTGTTATATTAGCTGTACAATTGATCACATATGGTGTTCGTAGTTTCCATACCTCCTGTGTTTTACGAGCGACTTATCAAGTCTTGGCAAACGGCATAAAACGCGATTAAACGTGATAGTATATAAAACCACGCTCGTATCTACAACCTATAGAAATGCAAAACGGCGTCAGTTTAGACGTTATTCTGTCCTCCTGCTTACCGCATCATTTATGAGAAAACATTTCATAACATTAACACAACATATTCGAGGTGGTTTAAATAACATATCCGTATTTATTTATTTCTCCAAGTTATGTTTTTGTGTGCACTGAGGAGTCTCAAACAGGCGTTTGTTTAATCGTTTTAAGATTGGCTTTAATCAATGTTTGAAAATGAATTCTTCATATGATAAATGAGAGGTAACATTTTATTTATTTCCACATATTTCTCTCCATTCTTCCTTCTGCCAACGGTATCGCAGTTTCTCGTCTCTCCCGTTGTTGTGCTTAGTGCGTACGCATGGGTTAGAGTTTGCGTGAAGGACCGCACATTTTCCCGTCAAGTTAGTATTTTATAAATCGCAAACATTGCGTAGAAACTGGCGTACGCCATTTTTTGAGCGTATATCCCTTTATAAATGAGGCCCCAGGTGGCGTGAGGTTTTGGTCCTGATGGAGCGCAGCCTCCTGCCAGAGGGGAGGGGGGTGAACAGTTTGTGTCCAGGGTGGGAGGGGTCGGCCACTATCTTCCCTGCCCGCCTCAGGGTCCTGGAGGCATGCAGGTCGTGGAGGGATGGCAGATTGCAGCCGATCACCTTCTCTGCAGAGCGGATGACCCGCTGCAGTCTGCCCTTATCCTTGGCTGTGGCTGCGGCGTACCAGATGGTGATGGAGGAGGTGAGGATGGACTCGATGATGGAGGTGTAGAAGTTCACCATCATTGTCTTTGGCAGGTTGAATTTCTTCAGCTGCCTCAGGAAGAACATCCTCTGCTGTGCTTTTTTGATGAGGGAGCAGATGTTCTTCTCCCATTTGAGGTCCTGGGCGATGATGGTGCCCAGGAAGCGGAAAGACTTCACAGCAGTTACTGGGGAGTCACACAGAGTGATGGGGGCGGGCGGGGCTGCGTTCTTCTTGAAGTCCACGACCATCTCCACTGTTTTTAGGGCGTTTAGCTCCAGGTGATTTTCTCCACACCAGGTCACCAGATGGTCCATTTTGGACTTCATAACCACAGAGGTCAGGGCGACAGGTCTGTAGTCATTTGGTCCTGTGATCCTTGTTTTCTTGGGAACCGGGATGATTGTTGAGGTTTTGAAGCATGCTGGGACGTGGCATGTCTCCAGTGAGGTGTTAAAGATGTCAGTAAACACAGGAGACAGCTGATCAGCACAGAGCTTCACGGTGGAGGGGGAGACATTGTCAGGGCCAGCCGCTTTTCTGGTATTGAGTTTTCTGAAAAGTCTGTTTACATCCCTTTCATTGATTGAGAGAGAGTCTGATGTGTTGGGGGGGGGGGGGTCAGTGGTGTAGGAGAGTGGGACACTGAAAGGGAGGGGGATGTGGAGGTGTGAGACTGGAGCTGTTGAGAGGTGTCATGGGGGATGGAGTCAGGACTGAACTCTTTGTCTTCAAATATGCAGTAGAACTGATTCAGATTGTTTGCAAGGCGTTGGTCGTTCATGGAGGGGGAGGCTTTTGTCTTGTAGTTTGTTATCTGTCTTTGAGGCCCCGCTCACACAGGACCGTTTGCGTTTATGCACAGTATGCGTATTCAAAAAAGTCTTCCGTTCACATGCATTCGTTTCATTTAACGTGTCTGTTCAAACGAGGCCGCTGGAAACGCTGTAGTACATATGCCGGGACTGTAAGTGGCGCTGTAACTTCCGCCAAAATACACCAAAAGCCGCGAAGAAGAGCAGCCCGAGCAGCCCCGCCACAATGTTGCCATGGCTACCCTTCTGTTTAAGCCCCGCGGTGTATTTAGCAACATGTAGTTCATGTAATTCTCCATGTCCACTTGTTGCTGATGGTTGTGGTAGAGGAGCTGTAGATTTTGCACTAATATCTGTAGCATGGTCAGTAGCAGTAGCACTAGCAGTAGCTACTGACAGGAGGAAGTGTGTGTGGCGATTGCTGGTATTCAGCGGGATATAGTCATTTCCTCAGCATATGGATAAATGCAACAGGGAAGTTAACTGAAAGAAACCGAATCTGTGGATATTGCATAGACCGACCAAGAAGCACGTCTCCGTGGAGAGGACGCGCTCAGAAAGAGAGATATTCTCTACAAACACCAGGTGAGATCGCACCTTTGTCAATATAATGGATCAATGCATGAAATCTGACTCTGTTTATTTTGTTTAAGGAGTATATTGGGCGTTAACAATTCTGGTTTGCCTTTTATAATATTATTTCATTCAAGAACCCCTTGTGCGTTTAATTAACACAGCTATTTTTGACAGTTGCTACAGCAGTGAGCAGGAGAGGTGGGGAGAGGCGGGGCTATCGTTATTTTTTCAGGAAATATTCGTATCGAGGTGATTACACGGACTCGGTTGACCCCCCCAGAGCGTTTCGTTTGCAAATCTATCCACCTTGGGACCAGTTATTGTTTGTGGGGTCAGTTTCTATCGGCCTTGTGTAAATAATAGGGCTATACGCACGCGAAACTATGCAGATACAAGCAGTTTTCTCCTCGTGTAAACAGCGCCTTAGACCACGCCAGACCGAAGCAGAGTCGTTTGCTGAGAGCTGATGTTGGAGTTTCTCAGGTGCTTGCCCCACGGGAACGCATACGGCAAAACACATAGGATTAACGCAATCGCAAAAAAGCTTCCGTCCATTAGCCCAGCGCACCAACGGAGAGAGAATAACTTATGGCAACACAAAAGAAAACATGGGAGCGGTGGAGTGATGAGGAGGTGTCGGCGTTCTGGCGATTCACTCGGAAGGCTTCAGTAGAAGCTGCTGGGAGTCCCAGCAGCTTCTACTGAAGCCAGTCCCCAACTCCGGGGACTTCGGGTGGCAGTATACTCCGTGAAGTTGTTTGCGGCCTGCCAGTAAACCCAAAGCAGAAAAAGAAGAAGTTACGTCAGCGGCTTCATTTGCGTAATCTTCCCTCAGGGAACTTATTCCGGTGTGAACGCGATCTGCTCTTTAGTTCCATGGGGGAACTAAGTGCTGGGAAAGTACTTGGTGTGAAAGCGGCTATGGCAACTCATCCACCAACAGTTTGGTAGGAAATCCGGGTATGACATGCTAACCACACACATCAGAAGAACTTTTCAGCGTTATCTTAAAATTATATTTTCCCCATTTCTTCTTTGCTGCCTTACATTTAGTTATTTGAGTGCAATACTACTGCAATTTGAAAGATTTACTTTTCTGCATTCGTTAGGAAAGAGCAAAGGGGACAACTTATGTTGCATTTGCAGTTGTAGTCCAAACCTGAGTAGAATAGGTAGAGTGTCCCTTTACTCAAGAAAGGTTTGAATTGTTACAATCACACACCTCTGTAAAATTAAAAAATGCTTACCTTTCCCTCATCAGGTGGTGGAGGGGGTGCTGGAGGCTCCTCTTTTGGAGGGGGTGGAGGAGGTGCGCCTTTTGGTGGTTCTGATGGAGGAGGAGGAGGAACTGCATGGCCAGAGGGGGGTGGTGGCCCATGACCACCACCCTCTTTCTGATTCTGTTTTGCCTTCTCTTGCTTTAACTTTTGTAAATTCTGAAGATGCTGTTTGTACCAACGTTGCTGTTGCTCCTGTAAGAAACAAACTCATTCGTCACACAAGTATCATTGTTGTCAATTTAACACAGCAAATATTTGTGGAATCGTACTTTCATTGTAGGTGTCTATTCGTCCCTCAATGTGACATAGGATTACACTTTCATATTTTATGATCAAACCCTGAAACAAACAGTGCCTTCAGATTTATTTTTAGTTAAGCTTTGAGTCATTGGGATTTACTATAAAACATTCAAATAATTAAATGCTCTTTAATTGCCCATAGTTCCCTTATATTAAAACACAAATTATAGTAAACCAGTTGGGGCAATATGTATGCTCAAATACTGCACATCGTAAATATCTTCATATTGACCACATTGAATACCTGGCTATACTGCTGAATCAATTGTATATGCCTGATAAGATTTTGAATCCTTACAGCAGCTCGTTTTTTATTTATTATGTTATTTTAAACATCAGAAAACAAAATGTTTTTGAGTCGAATAATATCCATATTCTTTTCATCCAGCCACTACAACAGTACTTTCAGTTATTATACTTTGAGATTTGACATTAAAACTATCTGCTGATAGTTTTTGATTAGAAAGAACATAACATGTTAAAGTCTAAACATTTATCACATATTAAATATGTTTAATAGCTAGCATCAAATGTGCCAGGCATCCCTCGTTCCCACAGCCAGTGTTCTTGTATTTGTGAGTTATGGCAGTTTTGAATACAAAGTAATATACTAGTTGTACTGGTCCGGTCTGCTATTGAATACAACACAATGAATGCTAGTAAGTGGTCTGATTTTCCATGTATGTGTTTATTCACTTATCTACCACCTTTGACATGTATAGGACGATGCTTGGATGCAATATCTGTATATTGGTTTCAACCAATAATACACATCCTGTCACAGGAACGGGAGACATTTTCAGAGTGTCAACAAATGTGATGTCTGCTAGATAACGTTTTTAGTAAAATCAACAGAAACAGTACGATGCCTTTCGGTCGTGATATCTGGCAGCAAAGTGGTGAGATTAAGCAACAAAAACAAAAAAACAATACAAGACATTACCTGCAATGGTAGGGTTGTGTCGTCCTCTGGTGTGGGTGGGTCTTTGTTATTGGACTCTTTTTCTTTGGGAGCACCGATGTTCTCCGGTGGCTTAGACGACTGGGGCTCTGGAGGGGGGGGGTACCGGTTTGCTGTCGTTGGGATGCGGTTGCGGTGGCAGTGGAGGAGGCTGTGGCTGACCCGTCTGAGGTGCAGGGGGACCTCTGGTCGCCTCGTCCTGTTGATAGTACGATTGAGCTCCAGCATTGCTGTCTGAATGTCCTGCACTTTCTGGATGCCACGACGACCCGGAATAACCAACGTTGTGTCCACCACCACCACCACCACCACCACCACTGTACGCATTGGCATTAGCATTACTACCGTGGTGAAGCACTGACTGGAGCTGTTTCTGGTGTAGCATCTGCAGCTGCTGCATCTGCTGCAAGTGTTGCTCCTGGAGGCTGGAGAACATGGATCCGGCTGATGGGGCCTCGAAGCCCCCGAACCCCGGTGCATCAGTGCCGATGTTTCCGCCACCGGGCTGCTTACGGGGCCCTTGCCCTCCAAAGTTTTGCGACGGGGGTGCCCCATAATTTCCCCAGGAGGGATACATTGTTATGAGGCGTGGCGATGGACTCGGCCTTTGTGCTCACATACAGCCGGTCCGGAGTGCCTGAAAAAAAGCTAACAGCTAATGCTAACCTACCTGGTAAAAATAACTATAGCAAACGTTTCATTTTATTGTCCCGACGGGCCTTGGCTGCATCAAACACAATGCACACACGCCAGCTCTGTAGCAAGGAACACTATCTTATTATATCGTAATACGCACGTATATACTTGTGTTTTAAGTTACAAAACCGTTGAGCCGCGGACGATGCTAAACATGATGCTAGAGCGCACTCACTGATGACGGAAACACGTCACATCCAGTGTTGCCAACTCCATAGTAAGGAAAGTAGCTATTGGCTGTCCGAAAAGTCGCCAGAAGTCCCTAAATGACGTCATCGCCTAATTTGCATATCATGTAATGGCGGTAAAAAAACGTTCCACCCCCTTCAAGGATCAAAACTTGAAACCACCAGAGTAAATCCAGACGACAGTAGATCAGAAATGTCTCTATTAGAAAAAGTAGAAAGTAGAAATTGTTTTAGTAGTTTTTAGTAGAAATCTCCCTTACAATAAAGGCAGTAGGCTATAGTATGCCCGTGTGTCATCTCCAATAAATGGCTTCAACCATCCTTTAAACTCAGGGTTTGATTCCCACTCCTTTCTGTACTTTTGTGAATAGGCTACAGTTTAGACTGTGACATGATGACCTACGTGGATGTTTAGCTTGTCACAGAGGCACACACACAGTGGACGAGGTGATTAAGTGACTGAGGCTGTGTGAGTCAAAGCAAAGCAAAGGCAGTTATTTATTATAGTGTGACAGTGACAGTGAAGAAACATTTACATTTTACATTTAAATCCCGCTCATGCGCAATTCATTTGCAGTCTCGACGCGGGAGAGTGTGGCTGTCTCCTCTCTGCTCTGACTGCAGCTGAGCTGTTGCGGGAGGCAACTGTGAGTCTGAGCGCCTGTGAGTACTATGGGAGGGCAGAGGGGCTCACGGCAGCACCCGCGGCTCGTTAACTGCTGAACAATATTTGAGTCTCCAAACACCAGAAAAGTCCCTAATAACACCATTATAAGTCGTTGAATTAGTCGTTAGTCGCTTTTGATAAAAATAAGTAGCCGGAGGGTTTGGAAAGCCGCCGAATTTAACGAGAAAGTCGCCAAGTTGGCAACACTGGTCACATCAGACAACCACTTCCGGTAGTGCTCCTATCAGGGATGCAAACTCATCAGGTATGAACAAGGTGACAAGGATCCGAGCCCCCCGACCCCACGGAATATCGGCTTTAAAATGAGGAATAACAGAGGATTTTAGCAGTCAGAACAACTAAAGCAGCAGTGTCAATAATAACAGAAACGCCAAAGAGTCACATCTAATAGAAATATATAAAAGCATTTATTTTAATTGTGTAGCAGTCAGTTTATAATTTTGGCAGGACTGTTGAGCATTTTTTAAATGTATTTTCATGCCTCTGTTCAAGGCTTAGTCTTTCTATCTTTATAGCCAGTGGTGTAAAGCAGTGGTTCTCAAACCTTTTTCAATAATGTACCCCCTTTGAAAAGAAAATTCAGCCAAGTACCCCCTGGTCAGTGCAAAAAACATTTTTTAGGGAAAAAAGCCTATAGGCTATAAAGAGGTACAGTAGGGCGCTGCACCATCAGTGTCTGATTTATTAAAACAACAACCTTGTAACACTTAAATGCTACATTTCAAATGTTTACAATCCATCACTAAATTCATGGCAAACCTATTTTAACATCATGCAATAATGCTAAGACGACATTAGTTGCATTGAACTGATCTTTTTAATAAGTTGTACTTACAATGTAGTGAGAAACATGGGCTTGTGCTTCACTGAGGATCTTTGTCATTCTGACAGGGAGGCAAACTGCAGTTATTACACTTCGCGTTTTGAAATATGTGTAACTGTTAATATAAAACCCACACTGCTCAAACTTCGTTACTTTTCCTAAAATTGGTATATTTATTTATTTATTTTGGGGTGTGGGGAATGAAGAGAAAAATATATATGAGCATTTTATGAGCATGGGATTTTGACCCCTCATATAAACATATGCATAATGCTGCGCTATACTTTGCGGCCACACGCCGTTGCCAAGCATAGCTTATTGTTTAGGTCCTTTGATAAGCAGGCAGTCATAGAATTAACTAGAAGTAGCTAGATCTGATAGATTTGGACATAAACGCGAGTGAAGTATAACCGGACGCGAGAGAGAGATCAGATCATAACGGAGAACACGCAGGTCTTCCGGATCACAGCTCCCCCGCTGTGACGGACCGGTGAGCGGAGCAAAATACACGAAGAGTTAGACCTAACACACTTAGCTAGTTTATCTACTCTGGAACTAGCTAAACTAGTTATAAATATATGTATTCTTTACTGTCGGGTCACTTAGTACAGGTTCAGCGAGCTGCACAAGACTGACGGGCTGTCAGGAGAGAGAGAGGGAGAGGAAAAGAGAGCACCCCGTTTATTTTTCCCATTTTATTATCCAGAATTACTGTAAACTTTTGAATAAAGTAGTTAATCTACTATTAGTAGTTTGTTTAAATGCATTACTTATGTTGTTTTTTCATTAACATAAAATAAATCTCACGTACCCCCTACAGTACTCCAACGTACCCCTAGGGGTCCGCGTACCCCCATTTGAGAACCACCACTGGTGTAAAGTAACTAAGTTCATAATTAATGAGATACTTGTACTTTATTTAAAGGGGATCTATCATGCAAAATGCACTTTTGTACGTCTTTTATACATGAATATGTGTCCCCGGTGTTCCAGGGAACTCACCAAGTGTCAGAAAATACAACCCTCTCTATTTTCCTCCATACCCAAATCTCTAAAAAAGGGGCTGCAACGGATCTGATAAAAACTGATCCAGATTTGAACACTGTCCTGACGTCAGGACGGTGGCGCTACGGCTATTGGGCCAACTCCACCAATCAGGAGGAGACAGCCACGGCCATTGCCGTTCGAAAGCGCTGGAGACGCTGTAGTACCAACCTGGTCTCACCAGAATGCGTGACTCCACCACAACTCCTTAACACCGCATTGCGTGGTGGAGTCACGAACTTTGCTACATTTACGTGTCTGCACCACGCAAACAACCCCAATGTAAAGTGAATGAGGCTCCTTTGTCGTGGTGCACACACGCATTTCTACAACGTCCAGCAGTGAGCTTTTATTCTATAAAACGTTTTTAAAATCTACTTTATAGCTTGTAGTAACTCACGAGAGGCTTCTTTTATTTTATTTGTATTCATAATAATTTTTATTTTTCGTCAGAATGTATTATGGTGCATTATTCACCAATGTTTGTTCTCAAAAAACAGTGCATTGTGTGTAATACAACTGTGATTTTTATTAAATGAGTTAGTTTTTAAGGAAGGCCAGAGCTTCAGCTGTGTCAAATAGATTGTTCCCTTTAGTTCACGTTATTTAAAAGATAATTATATTCCTATTTGATCATGTCCCCTTTATAGAGTGGCGAAGTCCCTCCCCTTCCGGTTGAGCCCCATGGGACCTTATTTCGGAAAAGTTATGCATTGAAGTCAATGGAGAGAGAAAGATTATCTTTCGATCCCGTTTGAATTGTGCCACGAATTACACATATGATGTTTGTCAATTTAAAAGATAATTTTGCAAGTCAAAAAAAAAAAAATGTGTCGTAAAACTGTGAAGTAACACATTTGTTTGTGTGAAACGCTAAATGAACTACATCTCTGGTCAACCACACACGTCACCAAGATGGCCGTCACTACTGTCTTGTCAACAAACGATTGACTATCCTCACTATCAGCACAATGAAACACGTCCTGAAGAATGTCATGCAAAGCTGCCTGCCTGCCTTCATTTGATTCTCTCTGAACTGCCTGGTCGTTTTAATGTTTAATGTCAACCATTTGTGCAGATAGCATGAAGTAGAAAAGATCGCCGAGGCTAACGTTAGCGTTAGCATTTCTCCCCCGGAATTAAATGGTGTATTATAGAATGATCACACCGGTGACAGTACTATTCAAAGGGTTCACGAAATATGACTACTACTCTTACTGTTTAACATTTTGGGTTACTTAATGTTACTTCATGTTAAGGCTAATAAAAATGACAAGGCTGTAATGCTAACTAACGTGCTAGCTACTAGCTAGGTAGCTAACTTGATCAAGCCACTCCTGGTCGTTTCATCAGACGGGAAGCAAAAGAACGAGCAAGACCCATTGCTGGTATAATAACAACCTGGTACTAAGCACACAGGCATCTTGTTAAAGTTATCTTATCTTAGCCAGCGCCATATAGATAGATTATATCTATATTGCGCTGATCTTAGGTATCTGAATGGTGGAGGTAAACAATTGTGACATCACTTACGCGACTCTGGGATTTGTAGTCTTTCTAGTTACGTATTTTTCATAGTCTTATATTTCAACAGTTTTACGACAAACTGTGACTTTTTTGACATGGAAATGATTTTTTAAGATTGACAAACATCATATGTGTAATTCATGGCACAATTCAAACGGGATCGAAAGATAAGTTTTCTCTCCCCATTGACTTCAATGCATAATTTTTCCGAAATAAGGTCCCATACCCCGGAAGTAAGTGGGAGGGACTTCGCCACTCTATTGTATTACGGACGCAGAGAGCAATGTGAGCGTCCATTCCATGGATGTATAATAAGAACTGGATACAGCGTGGGAGGCGGGGCCTCATTCATTCCTATGAGAGTTGCTCATTCGCGCATGATGATAAAATGGCCCAACTTTTGAGAGAGCGAAACGTCACAGATTACCCGGCATGCCTGAGAAGTACCCGTATGTGCGCTCATAGCGCATGCGCAACTTTAACCATGCCCCCCAAAATGCTCGTTCACATCAAGCACGTCAATTTGGGTACACGTAACAGCACCGCACGTTCATGATAGCATGGTAATGGTTTGTTATTATGATAGATTTGATATTAACGAGGCGGCAGTTAGCAGCTAGCGGTTAGCTAGTAATTATGCTAATTTACACATCAATCGTTATGTACTTTTATATTACGCTGTAACAGGATCTAGTGATATCCAAGCAACAGAGCTTCATTTAGCATGAAAGAATTATTGCACTGTATATATATATATATATATGTATATATATACAGTGCAATAAGCTTCTTAGTGCAATAAGAAGCTACAGGGACGTTAATCTACGTCGGTAATATTAACTTTATTTAATACAACATTTACGGTACAAGATTTAATCTTGTAGTATAATATTTTACAAATGATGAATTACAGCAAA